GGAGGGGAGGGATAAGTTGAGAGAAAATAAAATTTTAAAATCCATCAAGAACAAGAAGTCATAAAGGTGGTCTAAGGATCCATGAACACAAAGCATGTGAAATTTTGCAGAAACCTTTGTAATGACAATGACTGAATACACAACTCAGTGATCTCATTTGATTGACTTCAACATTTGTGGATACTGCTAGAATAAATAATATTGAATAGGTAATCCTTGGTAAATATTTAACCTAATTAAAATATAAAATTCTTTTCACAAGATATTTATATCAACAGTACATCAAACATATCTTTACAATTATTTATGATTTAACAATAAAAATACTAAGAGATTACATTCTCTCAAAAAAAAAAATGTAATATATTTTTTGCTTCAAAGTTGTTATTATATCAGAGACAATATGGACAAAAAATGAAAATAGTAAATTAAAAAAGAAAAAAGAAAGAAACATTACTAAAAAACAGTTATGAAATTCCATTTCTATGCCATTTAAAACAAGTTTTTTACTGCAATTCTATGCCAAATATTGTAAACAGATTCTAGGTCTAAAACACCAATTTTGAAGAGTTTTTTTTTTTTTTAATTTTCCCTTTATCCATCAAGATGGTCTTTTACTTTCCTCCTGGACATGTAAATGTAGTTATTATCCCCCCTTCCTAAATATTATATACAAAAAAAGATTATCATTTCTAAATATGATACATTTGATAAAAATTACTTTCCCAGAATTTTATTTCATTTTAAAAAAATTGTATATTGGAGACTTTTCTTTCTAGTATTTTTTTATCTATTTTCAGAGCTTAGAGTAATTGAGACTTAAAGGTTTGTAACTGTTTTACAGATTGACATAGAGATTTCAACCCCCTCGCCATCTGAGAAGCAACTAAAGAGAGAGAAGTCAGACACAGAGCAGACCCCTAAGTTATTGGAGCCTGATGTGACAATACAAGAGGAGACAACACAAGGTGAAAGCTCTTACACTATTTCTGTGTGTTAAAGACATTGATTCATAGGACTCTTAAGCTTTCGTAATTCCACAAATGTTTTGCAGTCTGATTACAGTAATTTGTTTATTTAACCAAGTAATGTTTTTGCAAAATGAATGAAATATACCAGGTCTCTATCTTAGCTTGCAACCCTGACCCCTATTGTTTTGGCAGTTTTGCAAATATCTTCAGCATCCCTTTCGCTTTCAGTGACCCCCCCTCAAATATTGTGCTGAAAATTTTAGTTGAAAGAAATAGAAAGTAGTTTTCCTGTCCTTATTACGTACTGCAGCCACTACATGGGAAAGAGTAAATGCTTATCTCTTGGCAAATGGTGGTTACTTTGCACATTTACTAAAATGTCTACTTAGCTCATTTACTTAAAGATTTTTTATAATTTTAAGGAAATTATATATTATTAAGTTTTGTTGTTTATTAATTTTTAATTTACTACTTATTTATATTTTATTAATACTTGTAATAATTTTATTAACATTTTTTTTATTTGTTTAATATGCAGATTTCATAATAATAATATAATACATTATTTATTTACACCAATTGGCTTTGTTCAAATAAGAAACAATTCATATATTAAATTATAAAGCTAAAACCAATGTAAAATAATCATCATTGAGCATAAAAATTGTGATGAGCCTACTTAAACAAAATAATTTATTATCAAGCATTTCGCCATTATGGTAGAAAATAAGTTATTAAAAAAACTTCATCACCATTGCCATGTGGTCGAATAGAACAGGCAGGGATACTCGAAAATATGTTGACATCTGCTTGGACATCCGCCTTCCTAAAAGACGTTCCTGGGGAGATTCCCTCAATCAGCAGCAGGGTATTTGAAGGGACCTCCCAAAGCACCAAGATGATCAGTCTTTTACCTGTAGTGCATCAATACTGTGTCGCTGCCCTCATCGCCACCCTTGTGATAGTCACCACAAGGAGGACAACAACATCGACGAGCTTCGCTGCTCGTACTATTCGGCCACATGGCGATGGAATATTTGTAAAATATACCTAATTTTTAATAATGGAGATGAAGTATTTTTAATAACTTATTTTCTACCATGGTGCGAAAGCTTGATAGTATATTATATTGTTTAAGTAGGCTTATCACAAAATTATAGATGCATATAATTAAAATAAAGATTATTATTGTTGTAAATAATGAAGGGTGGCGGCAATGTTTCTTGAGATATGTTTCTGATTTCTCTCCGAGCCAGCTTTTTAAATATAATAATTATTGTTAGGCTGCAGTTAGTAAATCAATAAATCTGTCATAGCTTCCCCCACACCTCTAATTCAGTTTTGTTTCTTAAGCATATTGGACAGAATTGCGTAAAGATACATTTT